GCCCATGGACCTCACCAGTATACTGACGAGTTTGACAGCCCAACTGAGCACTTTGGCCTCCAATCTGTTCTAGTTTCTTCTCAGTATTGGTTTGTCTTCTAACCCCCAGCTGCATCAGAACACCCTCCACCTGACGCCAACCCTGCCCTTCCCACTGCTGTCTGCAGCACCCAGCTGTGCAGGCATAGCACCTCCTCCGACTCCAGTCCTGTGAACTGTGAAATGCCCCCTCTCCCATGGGGAAACTAGCCTCGGCCCCACTGGTTATAAACTCCCTTTGCTCATACCTAACTGTCCAAGTGGTCTTTTGGGCTGGTTACTATCATTTCAGTATCCATTAAATAACAGGCACTTAAAAGCAGCTTTTGCTGTTAGAGGTGTGACTCAGAAGTAGAGTGCCTGCCAGTAAGGGAGAAACCTTGAATTCAAACTCCATATTACACACACAAAGCTATTTTTGTCAAAAAGCACCACTTACTTTATTGGGCCCATGAATTAAGTAAAGTAGAAGAAAAGATCATCAACTCAGTCTCTATAAGAAAAGAAAAAGAAGTCAGGCACCCGTGGCTCACGCCTGTCATCCTAGCTACTCAGGAGGCTGAGATCTGAGGATCACAGTTCAAAGCCATCATGGGCAGGAATGTCCATGAGACTCATCTCCAATAAACCACTAGAAAACCAGAAGTGGTGCTGTGCCTCAAGCGGTAGAGTGCTCGGCCTTGAGCTGAAGAGTGCTGAGACAGCACCCAGGCCCAGAGTTCAAGCCCTGTGACCAAAAAAAGAAAAAGAAAAAAGCCTCATGGACTTTTCTGCCTGGCCTGGTTTTGAATCAGGATCTTCAGATCTCAGCCTCCTGAGTAACTAGGATTACAAGTGTGAGCCACCAGTGCCCAGCACTTCAAATATTATTGAAGGGGCTGGGAAGGTGGCTCAGTGGTAGAGCGCTTGTCTTGCATGCCTGAGGCCCTGGGTTCGATTCCTCAGCACCACATAAGAAAAAA